TTAGATGAAACCTTTTGACGATGTTGTGTTTGCCGTTCTAGCATCTCAAGAACTTCAAAAAGATTGGTATCTTCGGAGACACATCTCTGAAAACGATCTCCGTCTATTTCTGGCCTGTCATGGAAGCATAGTAACGTCCGGTTTTCACATGGTTGTCTTCTGAACCTGACTTAATATCAGATGATAGACCAGTGTTTCTCATTTGTTTATCCGAAGCTTTGTTCCTTCCCTTGATCTGCACATTTTCTATTTTTACATCACTAATACCACAATTTCGGCATCTCCATGTTTTAACATTTGATATATTAATACTGCATTTAGTAACATAGGTACTGGAAATCTTATTTGATTTGAATATTTTTATTTATGTTGTATTGTTTGTTGAAAAATTTATGCAATATATTCATTTTTGACTCAACATGAAAATAAAGTTTCATATTGATTGGTCGACCTCTACCTATCCTAAGACTAATCATTAAAAACGCGTACACATTTTATGAAAACTTTCCGCTAACACAGACATACGTATAATCAAAAGAAACATCTTTTCTCCTCTAAAAAAGCAAACAAAACATTCTATTTATTTTACCATTCATGAATTTCTTAACCTCGATAATTTAAAATATTTAGGATTTCTAAGTATTGCTTTGTGATGTCACGTGATCATTTTGTTCAAAGCAAATGCATAAACCAAGTAATCTTTTTCCAAGGTATTTGTAGAAAGTACGTGTGCTATTTTTACTTCCTCTTACTGCTATCTACTGACTAGAAATAAACTTAATATGGTCGTTCAGTCACACTTGAACTTCACATATGGCAACTTAGGAAGAAGAATCCTCACTAGATAACTGTATAGTCAGAAATATGTGGAACCACCATGCTTTTTTTTTTATTGTTGCATGATATTTTCAATTTTTTGAAACTCGAATATATAATATCTGTTACTAGTCCTCTGTCTTCTTTGCACGCATCGTCTTTTACAGTATATATCTAATTTTAGTTCATAATTTTACAAATTCCTATTTTAATTAAAGTTTATTCGACTTCACATGAGATCAGTTGTTTCAAATTTTATATTTACATTTTATATTTACATATTAACATTCGTGTAGTAATCTTCATATATCGAAAAGAGGCAGATCATATCAAATTTCAATCAAGATTATTTCAAATTAAGAGGAAGAAAATAAAGCAATATAAGAAATAATTAGAAGCGGAGGCTTTTCATCCAACATAAAACACCTCCACATTGCTTTGAAATTGTTTATTTGAAACCGTACTTCTAACCGACATAAAACACGTTTTCATTGGTTTGAAATTGTTTATCTGAAAACTGTACATACATGTGAAGCCTACACAGTAAAAAAAAAGTCTGTCACTTTCTCATGTTCATTCTTACATAAGAATTTATTCTATTGGAAAAAAAATTTTAATGTGATAAAGTTGAATTGTTCAGAATATGCTAAATATGATTACAAATGTTAATTTAACAAGTTATGTTAAGTACAGGTATGCATTTTTATAGTCTTTAGATTTCTAAAGCTTAATTCGTCTAAATTTGTTTGAATTCTAAATAATGTTTTTGCGGGATAAAAAAGATTGTGATGAACTCTTTAAGATGCGCGGAGGTAAAGCGTATGTCATTTTTAAATAAGAGGGGAGTAAACAGTGATGTTTTTATATATTTCACCTAAATTACAATGTCTTTCTATCAATAATATGAAACTTTTGGATATCTGTCACAGCCCATTGTAGGTATCTATATGTCACTAGCACACATATAGCAAAACATATTTGGAAAAGAACAACAATGTATATGATAAATATAAGATATTATATGTATCATTTAATTTATTCTTCTTCGAAATCTTGTAGTAGTTCAAAATTTTGAACTTTATCTTAAAATAATATCTTAATTTTTTTTTTTTAAGAACAAAAACCGCTCATACATGTAGATAGATATTCTTTCGTTATTATCAAAGCAATACTCTCTTCCAATATATAAGTACACTATGATCATTAAAAAAGACTGTGATCACTAAAAAGGAATAAATGCACTACGCCTCGTTTTGCATATATCGCGAATTTTACTTATCTGCCCTGGATTGAAGAAAAGGTCGATAAATCTCCATTAAACATAGTAACACTATGGTCAAAATCACTTGGTTAAAATAGAGAGAACAAATGTTAGAAGAAACTGTTCTATCGCTTTTAAGATATGTGTGCATGTTCCTCTGCTATTTTACATATTTTGACAAAAAAAAAATTATACATGTGTTTATACAAATATACAACTACGATTAAATTGAGAAATCGTGATTGTTGAAGAATTTTGCAACAAACATAATGATTACGTTTCAATTTCATTGGTCAATATTTGTCTCTCTCCTCCGACAAATTTTGAAAAAAAAAAACCAGACACTTTTTGTAAAAACCAACTGCATGCTTAGACATATCAGAGAAAAAATAATTTTTTTCTGTATAAAGGAAAAAAATCGATATATATTTTACGATTTATGAATGTCTAAAGCTCGAAAACTTTTAGTTAGGCAGTCTAATTATTGAATTTATAAAGTATTTTTATCATTTAAGATTTATTCAATGAAATTATGTTCTACGTTGATTAGAAGATTTTAATTAATTTGACAAAATAATCTTCTTCTAAGTAAAAGGATTGAAAAGCGGAAACTTCCATCCCACATAAACACGAACGATGTCTAGAACTGTTCACAAACGTTTTCAAAAAGAGGTCAGTCACTCGATCATGACTAGTGTAAGATAATGACAGTCTAATAATAAAGGTGAGATAACATGTAAATGCACCATCTTCTGGATTCTGAATTTTTTTTAGTATGTGTTAAAAAAAGGCGTACTTTCCTGATGATCTTTGTTGCCAACTGATTTTTTTAACTTTGATTCTTTTTTTTTTTTACTTCAAGAATAAATTTTTACTTTAATTTGTCCAGTAGTTTTGTCTCAATACATGATATTAAATGAACAATTGTTTGTTTTTTTTTCTTTAAACCTTGATTAATTTTTCATTGATATATTTGTTTAGCTTAATCATCAAACTGTGAATCTTGGAGGCATTTTAAACTATATCCAGAGCATAATCTCCATTAAATATTGTCAATTGATATATGTAATTTCTAGACAAATATGGCATTTTCTGTTTTCTCTTCTTACGGCTCTCTTCAGACTAAAACAAATATGGTCGTTCATTTAAACTTCGACTTCACATGTGTGGCATCTTAGGAAGACGGATCCTCACTAAATAAACCACAACTGATAAGTCACAATGCTCTTTGGTAAAATATTAGTCCTCAACATTGGAGACTCTGCTTAAAGAGATACTGCTAAAATTGATAGATCACAATAATCTTTTATACCTCAACTATGAAAAAAATTAAAGTTTCCTAAAGTTAACTATTGTTAATCAGTGTTTTAAAGTCATCACTATAGCAAATCAAAATTTTCTCAGTTTTCATTATAGTGCCATAGTGATAACTATAGTAAATCAAAATTTTCGAAGTTATCACTGTAGTGTCATAGTGATGACTAAAAGTCAATCAAAAGTTTTTAAATTATAACGATCGTAAAGCAAAGTATCAAAGTTATCATTATAGTTAACTTTAATTTCTATAGTGTCAAAGTTATCATTATAGCGAACTTTGTTTATGATTGTTAACTATTATTTACTAAAGTATTTTTGCTAGGGATGCACACTCTTCCCATTTTCCCCATTTTCTGCAAAACAACTGTTAATTTAGCATAAAAATGTTCATTGAAAGGATGGTCCCCCTTTTTTGTCGCAACATAATCAAATTCTCCCATGGTAATATATTTAAGTTGTGAATTTTTTTTTTATCCCCCCCCTCCTTCAAAAGTGATGCTTATCTGAAATAGATGGAATCAAAAAAAGAATGTGTGTCTTATATGATGAAAGCAGAAGAAACACGCATTGCTAAAAAAAGCGCGGTAACAAGTTCTAACTAATTTTCGATTTGACAATCCAGCAAAAAGAATCATTCTCAAATAAAGCTATTTTTCCGATGTGCATGGCATAATGTAGGAAGATATGCTAGATTCTGATGTAAGCTTTCATACTCCTTCATTTCACATTCTTCCTAGTTTATATGATGTTATAAATACAAAGTTTACCTGCCAAAAACCATCTCAAAAATACATATAGCTAGAGATGATATCAAATGAACGATTTCGATGATACACTGAGCGAACACAAGTAGTGAAAAGTTTCCAAACTGGTGGTTCTTATGGTTTCTTTTCCAGAATTGACTGTAATTGTTCAAATTATTTGACCGTAAGCATCTGTGAATCCATATATAAACTCATCTGTATTTTTGAACTTGTGAATACCTGATGATAATAATTATAACTACAATGTACATATTCAGGAGGAAATAAGGAAAGTATAAACTAGTTAGTAATTAATAATCAAAAGCTGAACATGAGAAAACTGTTAATTACAAGCTTGTCTTTGCAATAATGGACGTATGAAGGTCATAAAACACCCGCTGCAATGTAAGGTCTCTTTGCCCAGAATTGTTGAAAGCCATACTCTGTCCTTAAATGACCGTAGAGTGAGCTGTTTCTGCTAACAGCATAAACAGGATTGACCATACTTCAGTTTAACGGACAATTAAAGTTATTATATCAGAAATGTAGTTGGGCTTAATTTGGTTTGCTGCGACTGTCAACTTTCATTACAATTAATGATTTCCGACTAATAAACACAGAATTGTTTCATTTCTGAAAGTATTGTTTTTGCTGTATTCTATTCAATCCAAATGGATTATCAAACAAAAAATTTAACATTAAAGGGTTGTTCTAATTCCGTCCAGTGTCTTGTACATATTCACAGGTATAAATTTTATAAATTTACCGACTAGGATAAACTTCTCTATTGGCAAAAAGAAAAAAAATCGGGCAAATATTCCTTCTTATAAAAACACAGTTTGCAAAGTTCCAGCCGGAATAAAACTACATTTGAATAGAATAATCAACTGCTCCCATATATGTCTGCATTTTTGGAGCATGAATTTCGATTGAGACACTCCCATGTTGAGAATTGATACATGGCCACGTCCCTGTAACACAAAAAGAGCATTTTGCCCAGATTTTATGCAACAAGGGGTTTAGTTATGCATGAAATAAGTACCTACTAAATATGTATTTTCAATAATCTTCTCATTTATTGGCAATTAATATTAGCTTCGAAAATATAAAGATGATGGCCTGAACTTAAAAATAAAGAATAAGATTTATTGATATATTTCAGTTCATACCTTCTGGAATAGTATGCCGTCTTTGTCCTGTGATATCATAAAGAGTGAACATATGGCCACCTATATTTTCGCCAATGCAAACAGAAAACTTATCATGACTTTCCTTCTTAAAATTAACTATGATGTACTCCTTTGGGTAGTTCCAGTCTATGGTACCATTTTTACATCCATCCGGAGTTTGGTATTCACGATGCTCTCCATCAGGTATAAATCTTTGAACAAACATAACACTGTTTTAAAAGCAACAATTTTGTCGATGACATTCTGTGGTTTATATTTATAAAAGAACTCATCAGTGATTAATGCTTTCATCAACAAAGTAAGAAGGAGTCTGTCTGTTGTTTTGTCTATCACCAAAACCAACTTTGTAAACATTGCTTTGGATATTGATAATAAGAAAACTCACCGAATTTGAGGGGGTTAAGAGTTATGTTACATGTATGTTTTGGGAGGGAGCAGGTTTCAAAGTTATGATCTCAAGGCTTAATTTCTATTTTGGCTTAAACGGGCCTGGACACAGTTGCATTGTTTAGGTTTTAGATTTCTACTCTTATACAAAAAATAAAATCAGTTAAATGAATATTCTTAGAACTCAATGACACCGACATTCTTCTTTACATCATGCCAAACTTCTGTTTTTGTAAACAGGGCACGAGCACGAGCATTTTGTTAAACTCTGTACACATCACTGAGCATGGACCGACAATACTGGTGAGTTGGTATTGCTTTCTCACGTTTCAACTCTGATTTTTCTGGGTTATAGTTTTAGAATTTTTCATCAAAAAAAAAAAATCTACTTTTCTGAAGTATTAAGGATAAAGTTTACTTTGTGAAAGTGCAAGGATGTGTCAATTATACGCATCCCGAAATTCGTATTTTCAATAATTTCTAGATAAAAGAAGTTTCCAAACAGGCTTTTATTATATTTCCGTGTGAAATCCTATAGCAACATATAAGCCATGATATTATATAGAAAATTTGAGAAAATATTAGCGTCAAATGTGTCCAGTCCCCTTTAAGCTTTAACCATGCGGATTAAGGCTAGACTTAATTTACATTTTGTGGCAAAAAGGTGTAAATAAATACTACATATAATCGGTCAGACAATGAAATGTCTAAAGTTTTGTAATATAAAGAATTCTGTTAACTATCTTCATTAAGAGAGCAAATATTTCCATTCATACGTCATTTCATGAAATTTTAAATTAAATTGCAATATTGACAGTACTATTGAACGATATACCTACCGAAAGAAAACAAAAGATTAATCATAAAAACATTATTTTTTTAAAGTTGTCGACAAAATTATAGTAAAGAAAGTATTGTATTGCATCTTCTGTGTTCGTTCCTTATCTTTGAGAACAACCGCCATATCATTGATATCTTAGTGTTTCTAAGATAAGGATCCTAACTGTAGGTCCACACATTCCACAGAAAATGGAACAAATATTAAACTAGTATAACTCAGAATGGAAGCCTGCACGGGGCAATATTATCTTTCAAAAAGATAAAATCTACATACCCTTCTGGAAGAATTGTACATCCATCTCCAAAAAGGAAGGAGAACACAGTTGGAAGTGAAAGCACAAGTATTCCAAACACGATCGAATTCATCTTGAAAAAGACCAATTCTCTATGAAAACTTTCCTGTGATTTCTTGTCATAAATATCACTGATCTTATCTACTAACCAACGAAGGTTTATCTATCTATACATACTTTTGTTTTTCCTTTGTGCAGAATATCAATTATGACACGAATCTGAATCAATTGCTAATTAAACAAGTTTTTAAACTATCATGTGAATAAATGGACTCATTTAAAACTATTCATTGAATTGATGTCTTCATTTTTACGCCATAGGTTTTGGAATAGATTCTTTTTGAAAAAAAAAGATGTTGGACTTTTGAAAATTATATATCGAAAAATTATGATATATCTTGTCCCTTCCAAAGATTTTTTTTTATCATTTTTGGGTTGAATTTAAAGTCAGGATAAATATTTCTTTCCTAGAAAAATACGATCATTTTCCATTTTGAGGTCAAAAATTTATTCTTTTTTCAATTAAAAAAAAAGATTTCATACTCTTTCCAACTAAATTCAAGGAGTTACGGGGAAAACGTAGACATTAAAAAAAAATGCAACTTTAATTTTTCAGAAATTAGGCAATGTGACTGCAAATTATCTCTATAATTTATGATTTTAAGGATTTTGCATTAATATTCATTTATAATACATGTAGTTTATCTTCATCTTTCCCCATACAATTCTTTATATGAAAATTGCATCATCATGAAGAAATTTGAATCATAACTTACAATTATACTTTTGAAAAGTGTCTGCGTTGACACACTCTCAGATGAGGTGCATGTAAATTCATGAATGTTAATTTTAGCCAGACTGTGTGTAAGGATTTTCCGTGGTGAAATAAGCAAAATATGGGGCTATTTTGTTGTTTTACCATTACATTGTTTATCTTTGTCTATTGAAACGCAATATCTAATTGTAGTGCCAATTTAGAATGCTTCTACTACATTTTTGGTTTCAAAAACACCCATGATAAGTTTTTTAAAGGATCAGAATGGCCCCCTTTGCCCCTTTGAAACAGATATTTTGCATTCTTTTGCAATAAAAAAATCAAAATTAGGCAACATAAATTTAAACTTATCCTAATTTGCTTAAAAATTGGGGTGGGTGGGCGGATTTTATTTCTATATTTTATTATTAAGAATATCTACATACAGTTTTTTATTCAATATTTTCACACTGCCACATTGTTAGTGCTAATATTGATGGATTTTATTATTTATTCCTTAAATATTTATAGAGGATTCTTCTTATACAAGATATTGAAAGCTTACACATGTACGGCACATGCCACACACAATTGCTGCTATGAAATAGGGCGAGTATCCCAATATACAACGCAGGTACGTTAAGGCTTCCCAGAGAATATCGCAGTGCACTCTGTGCCTTCACTTCCCTGAACTACAAATGTATGACGTCATAATTGAAAATGACGTCAAATCACTGCAAACTTGAGTTGTTATGATGGGGAGAGTGTCATAAACTTTACACCTAATTTCAATCTGCATATAAAGTGTCAGAAAGCTAGTGTAAAATAAACGTGTTTTAATTTTTTTTTAAATCTTATATATCCGAATATTTTAGACAACTTTGCTTTATTACTATTGTTTAAAAGTCAGAGTGTTCAGAATATATACGAAAATATACGTTTGACATTTACCCTTTTTTATACCCGTGGATAGAAGAAGAATTTATCATATGTATATAAAAGAGCCTGGCGCAGGTGATTAATGAGGATTTATTTGAGATCTTTTGTGGAAATCTGTAAAAGGAGTTTCCCCTCTAACTGAATCTTGCTTGGGAAAAATGTGTGATGGCTTTATTTTAATACAGATGACGATATTGAGTAGAAAATACCCTCAAATTTGTCGGTAAGTTGAATTTATTGTGAAATATTTTGTATCAGAGTAATAGTATAACTTTTCCCAAGCACATTTCGACTTCACAAGGATGCGACGAGTTTATTTATAAGACAAAAAGTTAATAATAATTGTGTTAGTCAGCTGCGCCGAAGCGATTTATGTGAAACACTTCAAAAAAGTAGAAATGACCATCACGTGATCAATGAGGTCATGTGATATCGTAACAAATACGTTTATATATAGCCTAGAGAACTCTCTATATAGATTGGCCGTACTTAAGTACATAACTTACAAATAAAAATAAAAATCGAACTTGCAATGCAGTGTTATGTTTTGAACGCATTTAAAACTTCGGGAAGCCTTAACATTACTGCGAAAGGCCCATATTAATTGCATACGCTGCTGCTGTATGTAGTAGTAACCACTCCAAATTTGCTCCAAATACGTTTTAGTTTGGCCAACAACTTAAAAATATCGCAGATTCCATCGTCCTTATACATGTTCATCCAATATTTTGTTCTTGACACATTAGGTCATTTTGCAAAACCAGTTTGTCTTATATATTGTATACAATAGCATTTGCAACAGTTCAAAGATAATTGACCATTTCCTAAGAAATATTATCCTCGAAAAAACTTTTTTAATACAATTTGAAACAATAATGAAAACATTAAATTATATTTTTGTATATCAATATATTTAGTATCAATTTTTACATTAATGAAGAATAATATGTACCTTTATTTTGCACCAAAAATTGTTTAAGCTATTAGTAGAGAAGGAGACATAGGCTTTTGGCAATTTAAGTACAGGTCCCCCTAACTATCAGGCAGGAGGTGATACATGGGTTTCTCAGAAATTAATGATTTTTCACTCACAGTTTTTTCTTGGGCTAGAAGACATGTATGTGGAAGGAAAAATATTTGGGGTCATTGTTACTATGGAAACCTGGACAAAGAAATTTCCCTAGCAACCGGCCAATTTTTCTTTGTAGATTGACGAAATTTCACTCATTTTGAAGGCTTTATACAAAATGTAAAAACAGTAATTTTTTTCTTATCTAGTGTAATAAGAAAGATACACGTTTAAAGTGTTCTGTCAATGTAATCAAAAGAAATTACATTCTCTTATATATGTGCTATAGAGACAGGTAAAGATACATGTTTCCCATTTTTTGCTGATTCAGCATTTTGTTTGATTTTAGCAAAAATCAAGTCGATATTATTCATTTCACCATCTTAATACAATTGTTTCATCTATTTCCTGTAAAACCACAGGAAAGCCTCTCTAAGAATGTGAAATAAAAAAAATTGCAAATTTGAAATTCCTATCTGTTGCTAGGCAACAAAAATGGATGGTTTGATAAATTTAAAAAGGGGAAAATGTAAAGCATTGGAAGAAAAATCAGATAAATTGTAATCATAAAACAAATTTTAAAATAATAAAATATAAAATATTCTTCCTCGTATACTAAAGACTATTTTACAATAAGCTATCTCCATGGCAACAGCAAATTTCCTTAGCAACGAATCATTGAAAGTTATTTTTAGCACATATTCATCTTAGTTTTTAATAGATTATCTGATTCTAATAATTGAATTGCTATTGTCCAGAATAGACATTGTCAAACTGGTTTTTTAAAAGTATTTTCAAGTTAATTCATCCATAGCAACAGAACTTGTCCACATAGCAACAAATGCATTTGTTAATAATCAGTATGTAGCAATTCCTCAACAAAAATCTTTGTCTTTAAGGATGTTAACTAGGCAAAAGCATTCTACTTATAGAAATGAAAAATCATTTACTTGACTTATGACTGTGGTATTTTTTTTTACACTTTCAAATGGTAAATCAATGACCTACTTTTCATGCTAGTGGCCTACTGAAACTCGAGAGTCTTAATTTTTTTTTGCAAATTCCTGAAAATTTAGCATCATGACCAATATTTGCAACGAAAACTGGATAGTCTAATTTCTGACAAGTCTAAAAAATACAGTAATCTCGTTAAGAAAAAAAAAGACTTTTGATGAGGTCTTCTTGTGAGAATGCAGACCTGGTTAGGAATTGATTGACCGAGGCCAAAGGCTGAGGTTAATCAGTTCATGACAGAGTCCGTATAGTAACAAGTAGGCAGAATTCAGAAGTCATTAACTGTATTTCAAATTATCAGGAATTTTTAATTTTTTTTCAGAATCCACCTATTTTCTCCACCAAATATATAAACGACCATAATATACTTATTAATGTGTTTTGTAGCAAGATATAATTATATTTCAACAGTTTAAACTTTTTAACAAAGGTGGGAGAAAATATATTAAAACAATAAATATTTAAACCATTTACTTAAAAGGAGTTTAGACAGTTTGAGTCTGTACGCAATTTGACTGGTTGATAAAAATGTAAGCAAAGCTATCAAGATTTTCCAAGACGGAAAACCAATTAAACAAACTCTTTCTAGCGAAACTAATGTCTCCTGAATAACGAGATAAAAAAGACCTATTTTGATGAAATAACTACATATGTAACATGTTATAATGAGATACTAAGTTGTGAACAAGATAGCTAATTAATTATAATTATCAAAAGACGACTTGATAGTTGAAACGTTTTAATATAACATCAAACTCGTTGTAACGAGACTACTAACTCTTGGAGAATGAGATTAAAAAATTATCATAATATGACACTAACTCGTTATACAAGATAGGATATTCATTTTAATAGGGTCACTAATTCATTATTTAAGGAATGAATGTAATAGCTGGTTATACTGTATAACCTGGGTTGAGACAGTTTACGCTTTATAAACCGCGAAGCGGTTAATAAAAAAAGCGTAAAAAATCGTAAAGTGTTCCAACCCAGGTTATAAATAAAATACATAGTTACTGTTTATAAGCGATATTTGGGCGAGGGAAAGAAAACGTGATAGAGGGCGAGGCTTGAAGAGCCCTCAATATTAATTATGTAGACACTTAGAGGGGTAATACGGAAATTTATGGGGTCCTTGAAAAATGCATATTGTATTTTTTCAAGAACCCCATATACATAACTTATTTACCCTGTCGAAGATTTTTTAATAAAGTTCATTTTCTCCGAGTTTAGCAAACCGTTCCCTAACAATTGTTTACATTGTGACGTCGTTTAATGCTAACGTGACGTCAGTTAT